CAGGTATAAGAGAGATATCTGCTCTGGGTTGTATCCTGAAGCTCATGGTAATGGAGCGATTTTCAAAAAATGATTATTGCGAGATGGTGCTGTTACCAGTGAAGCATATCCGAGCGAGGAATTCAGAAAACAAATAATCGTGTAAGGTGGTTTCGAAGAGTGGCCTCCATAGCCCCGTTCACAAGAGCAGATTCGACCAGCAGCGAAAACCGGTTCTTCCAACGTGTCCCATTCACGTGGCAAACAAGCATTAACTGCCTCTCAGAATTGGATGAATTTTCCTACCTCTCCAGAGCAGGGAAAATGGGGAGATTTTCCATACTGCATTGCGCGATTTGGCCGTTCACTTAATTGTAACAAACAAACATGACTGAAGTGCAACTGACTGCTCACTGGACTGTCAGCGAAACAATCGCTGTGATAGATATCTGGGGATGCGATATCATCGGAAAAAATTAGATGAAACCGTACAAAATACGTACAGACAAGATGCTACCATTCAAATTAAAACTAAAGGCACGCATATCGGCTTCAACTCGACCAGAGGACTCGGTACCTTTTGAATGATTTTTTTTTTTTTTTTTTTTATTTAAAAACCTTCAGCGACTTTTTCTGAATATTATTAAATGGTTTTGTAAGACAAAATGATTTTAAACTGAAAAAATCTTTTTGCCAGTAATTTTTTTTTTAATTAAAATTTTTGGAAGAAATGTTTAATAATTAAAATGTCTTTTTTCTCCTACAATTTTTAATGTTTTTCCTTGAATTTTTCTTATTGTATTTATTATAGTGTTCTTAATAATCCTTAAAGGTCTATTTTACAAATAATGAATTGTTTTTATGTAAAAACTTTGAAACAAATATGATCTCAATCACATTTTCACTTCAAGTAATTTTTTCAATATTTTGCAAAACCCATTCTTGTATCTAAAAAGTATATAACAGAATTGGTTAAAGCAGTAAAAATTTTAAACAATTTAGACCATATCAATATAAGTTTTAGGACCTTAAGTGAAAGGATTAATTGAAAAAATGCAAACTAAGAAAACACAGTTTAAAGAATATAAACCGTCTGAATGATCATAAAATCATTTCAAATTTCTAAAAAATTTTATTACTGGATTTCGATACATATAATTTTAATATATGAATTAATTATAATAATATATTTTCTAAAAACAATCAATAATTAAAAATTTATAATTAATATTAATAATATTGATTTGTCATTTTATTCACTTTTTCAAAAAGCAAAGTTTGAAATTTTAACAGCCACAAAACATTTTATTTAAAACCGTTCAGCAGCATAGGTGATTTATTTTCTTCTTTTAACCATTTGATCTTGTACATAAATTGCATTTTAAATTAATTTAGGTGTATTTTCAGTAATTAAAGAGTTAATGGTGCTCCGATGGCATTCTATAGCAATAGTAAATGATGTCAAAAAAGATGTAAGCAAACGTTGGAAATCCGTTTGTTCGTTTTGCGTTTGTGACATCATTGCTCGCAGTGGCTTATGGGTTAAGGCAGGGATGGGCAAACTACGACAGGCCGGAAGGTTCTATCTGGCCCGCGGTTAGAATTTTAACTTGGCGGTCCGAGGCAAATTAAAAGAAATACATATTTATATATTACATATCCATATTCTTTTCAAAAAAGCCATAGGGCAATGTAAAGTCTGCCAGGAGGGTCGGGGTGCATCTCTCATATCATCATCATCCATCTCCTTTTCTACTTTGTTTAAATATTATTTTTTCTTCCAAAGGACTGATGATATATTTACTTTTTCTATTTTTGTTCTACAAAACGTATATCGACAGAGATAGCAAGCACAATGGCTTTCAATCGGTAAAGTATAAAAAGCGAAAGTTCTTGGTTAGTTATAGCCGTAGATTGGTGCCAACAAGCGTTATCTCTTTTTCGAGGAGCAGACATATGTGAATCCAATCTAGGTGAATTAGACCTCACATGTGGCAGACTGCGCATTTTAAGCTCCAGCCAGCAGCTTTTTCTTTTGGCGTGGGTTCTAATATGGAAAGATTGCAGGCATATAGCATCATTGTGAATGGTGTTGAAATTATTAAAAGTGTGTTACTGTGTACTACACTGTGTTATACATCAAGATGCACTGTGTAAATCTGCATTGAATATGAAAATGCTTGATGCAGTTTGAAGTTTGTAAATACTTTTCGATCTCGTGGGCTTACTCACAGGCGATTTAGAAATTTTCTTCAGTCCATGCATTCTGAATACTCAGATGTACTGTATTGCACGAAAATAAGGTGGCTTAGTGCAGGATGTGTTTTTGAGGGAGTTTGGCAGCTGAAAGGCGACATTGTGTCGTTCTGCCTTGTGTTCTGTGGAATGCGAAATGTTAGAAGATACAGAATGGCTTTCGGACTTTACATTTTTCACAGATCTTCTTTGTCATATGAGCAACTTGAATGTCAAGATGCAAGGGAAAAATCAATTTATCAACGATATCTGGGCCCATCTCAAAGCTTTTAAACTAAAACTTTAAGTTTGCTGAGCAGCTAGCCAAGAACAACTTGTGTCATTTCCTAAGGTTAAATTAAATACCCTCAGTAAATGAAGAGAAGCTTAAGAATTATGAAGATGGCTTGAAAAAAAACTGCATTTTGAGTTCGAACGCAGATTTCAAGATTTCAGTGCCATTCAAACAGAACTGGATATTTTTACTATGCCTTTCAATGTAAATTGTGAAGCAGTGAGGTCAGGTTTGCAGCTTGAATTAATTGAGTTGCAATCTAACAATCATCTAAATATGCCAAATTTTACAAATCATTATCAAAAGTGAGTTTCCCAAATTTAATATCTCACGCCCAGAAAATTAAAGTTATGTTTGCTTCATCTTATATATGTGAACAAGTGTTTTCAACTATGAACCTTAAAAAGAATTATTTTAGAAGTAGACCGGCAGATAAGCATTTAGCCTCATTTCTTATAATCCGTGCATCTCACTTCGAACCTCAATATAAGGAACTTTTAAAAATGTAAGGGATGGATGATGATGTGCATCTGAACTGGTTCTGAACGCGAAACTGCATCATATACCCGTTTCTCCCAAATAGAAACGGTAGCTGTGTGAAAGAGTGTTGCATGTGAACGGGGCTCATATTCACCTGACCAGCCTCCAATGGACTTTTGTCTGTGAGGATACCTCAAACAGCAGATGTATGTGACCCCTTCGCAAACATTGCAGGACCTTCCACCTATTAATAATGCATGCACACATAAAATTCTGACAGAGGTCAAGATGTGCATTGCAGCTGATGGAAAAGACCCTAAACATCAAAAAGATATCTTGCGATAACTAATATTCATGTCCATGAGGTGTCTTTTTGTACCCAATTGATGAAGCTCTACAACTTTACAACACTATTTTTATTTCTGTCTCATACCGTTTTTGGGATAGGAATGCTAACTCCACCGCTTTCCACTAGGTCAGGGTTTCTTAAAATTTTTTTCAGTTGCAAACTTCAGAACCCATAAATATTGTGCAAATCCAACACACACACATGAGTGAAACTGTCAATTTTTTCACTTGTTCTCTAATATACTATTGCAATTTTAGGTCATTAACTTTAATTTCTAATTTTAAGATATAGAACGATGTGAAAATTTTAAGTAAGTAACAGACGAAATGACAGCGTCACATGCAAAGCAAGGAAAATGAACTTTTATATTATAAAAAGAATGCATCGAAACATTTTTTTTCTTTGTCTGTGTTGTTTTATCTTCATCTATTTTCAGATACATTGTGTAAAAATATTTGGTAATTATAAAATTATTATAATAAGTTAAAGAAATATCAAAACTGCTAAAATTTTTGGTGACCCCCTGCTGCAGGTCACGACCGACAGTTTGAGAAATCCTACACTAGGTGATGCTGTAAGCAGTCTCATCTAATACAGCATAGCCACTTTACTTAATATGTATAATAAAAGTATGAAAGAAACTGGCTAGTATTTAATTACTTGTGAGATTTCATGCAGCCAACCCATTCATTGAGAAAATATAACCCAGGACAATGTTTCGCAATTTTTTTAAAAGCCTTTCAATTTCTTTTTCTTAAATAAACAGATTGATTGCTAAATTAATATAATGAAATTAAGTTGTTTTTCCTTATAAAAGTCACTTATACGGTCTTCCCATCTTCATATAAATGAATCTACTAATATACCAAATTCATTATTAATGTTCATTTTTAAATAACCCAATAAAAATAACTTATTGTAACCAAAAAATCATTTCTCCGATTTATATGCATTTCACTGTATGAAATGGAATTTATTTATTTGCGATTTTACAAAGTTTCCTTTTCAAAACCATAAATGAATAAATTTGTCTTTTCTAAAAAAAAGATAAAATGGCTTTAAGGTAGTTTTATAACTTTTTCCACATAGTATCGAGATTCCTCCCTCCAATGGCCAGACACTTTGTTAGTTAAACATTCATTAGAAATAGTCAGTCATTTAGCCATCTCGTCATTGAGAAGAATGCCGACAGGCAAACGAATTACACCTACCAAAGAAGATAATTCTATCCCATGAGACAGATCCTAAGGTCATATACAGTCACAATGAAGACCTTATAGACATACCAACATCCATGCCAGCTGACTGTATTGAGATTTTATGATGCATTTTTTTTGTTAGAAACTTGAAAATTATCAGTAACATTCTGAAATGTACAATTTTGTATAATGAATATTTATTGTGGACAAATAAATACAAATATATATAGTATCTCTAAACTGGTATCTTTAATGTGCAGTTTTTGTCAAATGTTGTAGGCAAACCAGATATTTTCGAAACTACAGTTTTCATTACATAAATTCACTTTGGTTGGGTAAAATCAATATTTTTCATAGTTTCTTTAACCGAAAAGAAAATCTATTTTCTTTCCTCTAACGTATTATTGTATTCTAATATATAGTTTAGAATTTTAACATAGTGTTAATAATTTTTATTTTGCAGTATGCTTGGATGTTTCCTGTTCTACTGAAGATTGGACCATATATGCAGGTGAAAAATTAATCATCTCTTGTGAAATGTATGATAACAGCTGTCAGTGCAGTAGTTCATAAAGTAAATGATCATGTAACCATTTTTCAGTTATTTATGTAAAATGACTGTTCACATTTCAAAATATTTGTTTACAATAAAAATGTCCATCTGTGGTTACGAGCAGTTTTTCCCCTTTAGACATATCATTCATTTTGCTCCACATACTTCTTTGATGTGATTCTACAAAAAATAGATAAGAAAAAAGTTAAAATCAACATTGTTTTGAAAAAACAAGAAGTTATAAAAAAATGTAAGATTAGCTATTACATGATAAAAGCAGAGTAAAGAGTATACTGACACTACGTATCTGAATTGCACCTTCCAAAATTTAATTATATTTGTATAATACAAAGATTTAGGATAATATTGAAATAATATAGCACTTTACCTTCTGTTTATCTGCAGTTCAGTAAAATGATAAACATACAAATCTATCTGCAAATAGTCAATTCTTTCGCAGACAGACAGGTACTTCCAGCAGTGATTTGGAAGTGAAATATCTCCAAAGTGGAGGTAATAAAAAGCTTAAAAATGCATACACTAGGGCCAGGACATTTTTTGTTTTTAACCCTGAAACATATTTTCACCCTATCTGAAACCAAAAATGTATTCACCTGGGCTTTCTCACTTGTCTTTTTAATCTCCAGTAGCAATATTAAACATGCACGGCATTATTTTGCATTTCATGTACTTAAATATTGACTGTACCTGAACAAAGGTTATTGATAATGCAAGTTACTGTGGGTCTAAGAGATTTTTTCTATACATCCCATTCTAGCTAGTGGAACTTTAAATTTTATTTTTTGTGTGAAAAAGTTTGCATTTTGTGTAACAACTTAGACAGGGTTCGTAGCGGTCCTTATAAGTGCTTATAAGTCCTTATATTTGAAAATAAAATATAAAGGCCCTTATAGGTGCTTACTTTTACTTTAAAGCCCTTATTTTTTTGTTTTTAGTGCTTATTTTTTGCTTTTAGTGCTTTTTTTTTAAATGAACGTGCAATTTTTCTCCGTACCAAAGCCGAAACTAAATAAACAACTTTTCTTCCTAATATGGAATGTCAGATTGTGAATCGTACTCCCGGAAATAGCTTTTCCCCCTTTCTCTGCATTAACATAACCTTTGGTGTGCGCAGAGAGTACAGACAGGTGCCCGTCGTTCTGTTGGTCAAAGAATTGCGAAAGCAGTAGAAAATTCTGGTACATTTGGCATTCTTTTCCTCCTACCCAAATACTACACACGTTTGAATTTCTATCAAGATCTTAATAATTTGCATTCTCGTTCCGCTTGGTCAGTTCATATTCGATTTTATTATGATATTATGATTGTTATGCTTATATTATGAGCATATGTATGAATGTTTATAATAACATAGTTGCAGTAACTGCTGAAGTATAGTAAACTTCCAAAAATGGTTGTGTTTTAACACAGATTAGCTTTCCAATTAATAATATTCGGAATGACGTAAATAAAGGGAAAGTAATCGAATAGTCAAAATAATTTCATTTTTTTTGGCCGATACATTATACAGTACGTAGGTTGGGAGGTTCTCCCCTTTCTCCGCAAAATCACGAATATTGAAACTGTTACAGTTCGTTGCAAAACAAGCAATGGAATTTTTTTTTTTTTTTTTTTATCAGTCACTTTCTAATCTGGATTGAATAAGACTAAAAGTTTTGCGGTCTACCAACCCAAGCGAAGAATGATTCTATTCCGGAAATTTAACGGAGTCTGTTGAAAATTAGAATGAAAAACACACCAAGTCTCTTTCTTTTCCTTGATTTAGTTCTTTATTCTCCCAATATCGGCAGCTGTTGAATCCGATTGCGTAATATCATGTAGGGAAGAATTACGGCGCACATATTGCGCAATAACGTTTGCGATATTTTGCAGAGATAATTAATTTTGATGTTCGGTCCGAGATTTGTTTATGAACACTTAAAAGAGTTTTACTGTGCTTGCTAAGCAGAATATTTTTCTGTTCCGTTGGTTTGTTTTTATATGATGCACATATCAAAATGACAAAAGCATTTATTTAGCGGAAAAATCTAAAGAACGGCTACAGTCTATCCCCCCTCCGCTCCTCTTTTTCAAGTTACGCTCGACTGTCCGAATATTCGCCAATTTTCAAGTATGCGGGTAGTTAAGCTTTTACTGTTAAAGGATGACTGCATGAAGCAAATTTCTGTCTTCTGATTTCAGAAATGTTCCTCTTTTTTTACTTAAATTACTTTGCTTGCAATATCTGTTAAGGGAAAACTGATATACGATGAAAATTTAGAAAATGTTCAGAATTTAGATTTAAATTAGTTAAATATCAATATGAGTGGAAAAATAAATTGCATTTATTATTAAGTTCCAAGCGAATAGAATAAATATGCCTTATTATTATTTATTTCCTCTATTTTGAACTGAAATTCTATCATTAAATCTTGTAATATAGTTTAGTTTTGCATAGTTTTTTTTTCTCTTATTGTAAACTAGTTCTGTAAATTGAACTGTTATTTAAAATATAAAAAAAGTAATTATTTTCCATGGTTGAGGTTCCCCCTTTCTCTGCCCATGCTTATTCTCTCTTAATAAATACTTCATTTCTCATATTTTAAATTACGAGTCTAATTTTTGAAGTTATGCAGTTGTGTATAATGTAATTAGATAGGTGCTTATTTTTTGAACTAAAATGTGGCTATGAATTCTGTTAGAATATACACCATATTTCATTGCATAATATTACCCCTACCCTTTTATTGCCAGGTTCTTAAAATTTTAAAAATATTCATAGCACATTCAGAGAGTGAGCTCCTCTAAATTTTAAAATGGCTCCGTCCAAGTAATTTGTTTGTAAATTGTTTTTGCTTTATTAAAAATGACAAACCCTCACAAACTACATGTGACGGTCACATAAAACCTATCCCTCCTAACTGCTGAACTTTATCTTAACCTCATACAAGAACCAGCCAATAGTAATGAAGCAAATACAAACTAGCATTTGCTGAGTCAGCTGCACATTCACTTTCCCTAATTATAGTTTGTTTTTGAGGCATAAGGAGTAGTAAAGGTAAGATCAGGCAAGATTCAAGTTATGGGGAAGTAGTAATAAAGATAGATTTTGTAATGTTAATATTATTATGTATTCTATTTGTAAGTTTCTTTTAAAGAAATAATACTGCAAATGTTAATTGTAGTTTATCCATAACTATTTTTCATTTTTGTTCTTTCTGTAACAGTGACTCTCAGAAATTACTTGCATAATTTTCTGCTCTTAATTTTCGGATGATAAAATTAGGAGAGGAAAAAAAGAAGGGGGAGATATGGTATTAGATTTAAGTATAACATTACTGTAACGTGTTTGACACACCAAAAAAAAAAAAAAAAATGAACTTTTTCTGAAATGGTATGCCTCAAAGAATGCATTAATACCAAACTTTGTAATAATCATACAAGCCATTTTCAAGATATTTACATTTAAAACTTGGTGCTAGTTTTTAAATTAGAGTAAAGGAGGGAAAAAAATTCCCCCCTTCTAATTTACATTAACACGTTCACCGGTAACTAGCAGTATACTTTTTGTTGAGGTCGAGTCTTTTGTTGTAAACTAATGATATACAGTTATAAAAATTATATTTTGTTATGTTCTACACAGATCTGCATATTAGTGAAATCAGATATTGTGGACCAAATCTAAATTGGAAACAAAAGCAGGCTTGGGATTTCGCATGTTTACCCTGACTTTTTTAATAAATGACCACATGAATTGTACCATTTGGGTTATTAAACCTCTACTTTAAACAAAATTGTTTTAAAATAAGATTTTAAAGGAAAAATAAATTCTTATAAAATTTGATACTTGCAATCATTTGTCATCTCATATGAAGAATTTCAACTTAATATATCATTAAAACTACCTCCAATGGAGTAGAGAGTGCTGCTTTCTGTAACTTCAGTATATCTTAGGCTGTTATCACATCTATAGACGCGCGTGCTTACCCGGAACTATTCCGAGAAACGAGATTCTAGTAGCACGGCTTTAAGTGGCAGGCTTCCGAGAAATGTTTTGTCTAGCTAGGAGGAACGTGTCCTGGCTACGAGCAACATTTTAAAACTTTTCCCAAAATGTTCCGGCTGGAGACGTGTTCCTCGAACGTTCAACCAATCAGACGAAAGGTCAGCTTCTGAAGGATCACGGGTAACTTTCAATATGGGATGGCTCTTACTGTGAAGTGATGGACGGTGGAAATAGAGGCCGATTTAATTATTGCTGTTTTGTTGTAATACAACTGCCTGAGTCATTTTTTGAATGTGTATATATTCATTAAATATATAACCGTGGAAATTTCAGAGTTGACAGTATTTTACGACATTCTTGCATTTCGGATTTGTTTACAAATTGTTCGTAGCCAAAAGTTCGCCAAATTTGTCGTATTTCGTGCTGATCGTATATATAACCCTGTTATATAATAGAATTTTATTTCTTAAATTTAAGTTGAATAATTTTTTAAAATCCGTTTGTATATGCGCGGCTTTTCTCCTAATTACTTATCTTTTAAATTGTTAACTGCATAATTAGTGACACATTTTAAACAGCATAAAAGATGCATAAAAAAGAAAAGCATAGCTTATGTAATAATGAGAATACTCATTAAATTTGTCTATTATTTTCATGTTATTAATGAAATACTTTTTGGATTATAAATACATTAGAAACTATACTTTTTATTGTAAATGCTACATATTGAAACATTGAAAATTTATGGATTTATTATTATGCACGATGAAAAAAACATTTGTGTATACATTCATTAATATAAATCTTATTCATTACATTAATACTAATAAATATATATTAACAACTTCTAAAACACATCGCATCTCTCTATCTGTATATAAATATATGACTTATTAGATGAGTATATATATATATATGTATGTATGAATACAAAAATGAACATTGCCAAGAAGTTTATTTGAAGTTACTTTTAATTCAGATAACGATTATGTAATTGGCAGCAACTATAGTTATCAGTTCTTTGCAAATTATTATGGGTATGTAATAATCAGTTGAAAAATAATTGATAAGTATTTGAGTACTAAAGAGTGTACACATTTTGTTATTGGGT